CTGTGCAACTAGCAGCAGCTGCATGCAGCACCAGGGCAGGCTCAGCCTGGCTGCAGGAGTGCTGAGCCCAGCCCTCAGCTGCAGGGAGCTCTCCATGGCTGGAGCAAGCAGGGGGCGGGTGGAGGGCTCTAGCTCCAGGCTGAATGCTCGGGGAGAGCCCACACCCTGCCACAGCTCAGAAGTGACACTGCAGCCGGATCCAGACTCCCCCAGCCTTGGGGGGAAGCAAGGGCCATGATGGAGGATTCCCCAGGAGAGGTTTAATGGGGATGAGGGAAGTAGACAGTAGCCACTCCCCTGGTGCACCAGTCCCAGGACCAGCCCTGCTGGCTGGAGCATTTCAGGCTCTTGCAAAAGCCCCGTGTCTCCCGTCTGGCAGCACAGGGCCTATTGCCTGTCACCCTGAGCCCCCGGCTCGACCTGCTTGCCTCAAGCCAAGTCCCTGGTGCCCGCTGCCAGGGCAGGGCTGCTCTATTCCGTGACCTCGGGGCTGACGTTCACCAGCAGCATGTCATGGCTGCGCTGCACCAGCATGGCCAGGTTGCTGTGTGTCCGCACGGCCTCGTAGATGTCCTCTGCGCGCCGCACCGCCTGCCCGTTGATCTCCTGCACGACGTCACCGGCTTTCAGGCCCGCCCTGCCGAGAGCACAGACACTGATGTGCTGGGCCTGGCAGTGATGGATGCAGACCCCTTCCCCACAGCCCATCCCCAGGCAGATAGGGGTGGGGGCCTTGCTCTGGCAAAGTCTTACTGAGGCCAGAGTTAATCTCATCAGGAACACACTGGCTGCTGGTGGGGTCCTTAGACAGCTGTGCCCACCCCTCACCCAGCACCCCCATTTGGGGCCCTTGCCCCCCAAGAGCCACCTCTGCAGGACTTACTGATGAGCTGGGGAGCCAATGATCACCTTGTGAATCAGGACCCCATACGAGACATCAGGGAAGCTGGGGTCGCGCAGCTTCAGCTCGGCCAGAATACTGCAGAGAGGGAGACACACTAGGCAGCTGGGGCAGGGCACAGGACAAAGCGTCCCAGTGCTGGAGCAGCCTCACCGCACAATCAGCTCCTTGTGGGGAACAGAGCAAGCCCCCGGGGGGGACTTGGCTGGACCCTCCCACCAGTCAGAGACCCGAGCGCCAGGCCTGCCTCCCCACAGCGAGGGGACAAGGAAGCAGCCCAGTTCCCCAAGGACAAGGCAGCTGGAAGAGAACCTGGTTCCCAGCCCAGCCTCCTAGCTCTGAGAACTGCCAGCAGCCAATGCCTCAGCAGCACAGCCCTGCTGCAGGGAGGCTAGGGCACTGCCCCAGGAAAGTCTCCTCCTGACCCACCAGCCAGAGGCTGGGCTCACGAGGTCAGCAGGCCTGCTGCACTTGTCTGCTCACTGTGCTACTCTTGCCCAGGGCCAGGCCATTTCATGCCCTCCTCCCTCAGGGCAACTGGACTAGAGATGTGAAAGGTTAACGGGTAACAGGTGGAGACTGGAGCAGCTCCCCACCTGCCACAGGCAAGCAGCTCTTCCAGCCCCAACTACACTGTTACATTGCTACCCTGTGGTGCTGCTGCTGCCTGGTGATTTCTCATACCCCCCCAGCCAGGCCCTTTGCTCCCAGGATGTCTCCTGGGTCCACCCGCAGTGACACAGCTTAGCTCCTCCATAACTGCTGAGCCATACCCTGGCTGCCTGTGGTGCAAGAGGAGATTCAGAGAGGAGATGTGTCTGTCCTGTCCAGCTTGCCCAAGAGATGGCTTGGGCACAGCAAATACTGTGGGGGTAGCCGGGGTGATGGACAGCTGCATGTCACTGGGAACTCCTCTGCCAGGGAGAAGGCTGGGCTGGCATCCTGCCCCTGGGGACACTCCCATAAGTAAACTAATCGGTCTGGGCTGAGGTGGGACCAACAGGGTTTTCCCCACTGCAGAGTGATTCTCTACATGGGTCTCCTCCCAGCTTGCCTTCCTGAGACTCTGGCCCCACAACCCAGGGTAAACCCTGGAAGCCAGTCAGCTGGCCCCAAACTTGGGACACATACCTGGGGGTCAGTGTTAGCATCATCACCCCGATGTAGCGACGCTTTATCTCCGTACTGCCGAACCAGGAGCCTGCAAGAGCAAAGGGAACCAGGTCTAGGAATTGCCAAGGGAGGACCTGTGTGCACACCCTCCCTCCTCAACACGATGCCAGGCCAGCTGGGTTACTTGGCCTGCCTACAGCAGAATGGGGCCTCCAGCTCAGAAGAAAACCATGCTCTGTCCCCAGGCTGCAGCCTGCCAGGTCCTTCCCCCCACACCACCTTAAACTACTGCTTCCTGGACCAGCTGGTTCTGGAATCCACAAGGGGAGAGGCTATTCTTGATTTAGTCTTAAGTGTAGTGCAGGATCTGGTCCAACAGGTGACTATAACTGGACTGCTTGGAAAGACTGACCGTAATATAATTAAACTTAACATCCCTGTGGTGGAAAAACACGTCAGCAGCCCAACACTGTGGCATTTCATTTCAGAAAGGGGAACTACACAAAAATGAGGAGGTTAGTTAAACAGAAGTTAAAAGACACAGTGACAAAAGTAAAACCCCTGCAAGCTGCATGGAACCTTTTCAAAGATATTGTAATAGAAGCTCAACATACATGCATACAAAACAACGAAAACTAAAAATGTGCCACTGTGGCTTAATAAGTAAATAAAAAGCAGTGAGAGATAAAAAGTCACTGTTTAAAAAGTGGAAATTAAATCCTAATGAGGAAAACAAAGGAGCATAAACTCTGTCAAATGAAGTGTAAAAATATAATTAGGAAGGTCAGAAAGGAATCTGAACAAGAGCTAGCCAAAACTACCAAACCAGCAAACCATGTTTAAGTCCATCAGAAGCAGAGAGCCTGCTAAACAACCAGTGGAGCCACTGGACAATCCAGATGCACTCAAGGACAATGAGGCCATGTCAAGAAACTAAATGAATTCTTTGCATCCGTCTTCATGGCTGAGGAGATGAGGGAGATTCCCAAACCTGAGCCATTCGTTTTAGGAAATCTGAGGAATCATCCCAGACTAAGGTGTCCGAGGAGGTTTTCGAACAAACTGATAAACAATAATACGTCACCAGGATCAGGGAGAATTCATCCAAGAGTTCTGAAGGAACTCAAATGTGAAATTGTGCAACTACTAACCATGGTTTGCAACCTAGGCTTAAAATCATCTCCTGTACCAAATGACTGAAGAGTTAATGTGATGCCAATTTTTAGAAGGGCTCTAGAGGTGATCCTGGCAATTACAGGCTGGTCAGTCTAACTGCTATACCAGGCAAATTCGTTGAAACTGTAGTAAAGGAGAGAATTGTCAAACACATGGCTAAACACAATTTGTTAGGGAAGAGTCAACATGGTTTCTCTAAATGGAAATCATGCCTTACTAATCTACTAGAATTCTTTGAGGAGGTCAAAAAGCATGTTTACAAGGGGGATCCAGTGGATCTCGTGTACTTAAGATTTCCAGAAAGCCTTTGACAAGGTCCCGCACTAAAGGCTCCGAAGCAAGGTAAGTTGTCATGGGATAAGAGGGAAGGTCCTCTCATGGATTGATAACTGGTAAAAAGACAGAAAACAGGATAGGAATAAATGATCAGTTTTCAGAATGGAGAGAGGTAACTAGTGGGGTCCCGCTGGGGGCCATGCTGGAACCAATCCTATTCAAGACATTCATAAATGATCTGGAGAAAAAGGTAAACACTGAGATGGCAAAATTTGCAGATGACACAAAACTGCTCAAGTTAACTCCAAAGTTGACCGTGAAGAGTTTCAAAAGGATCTCACAAAATCAGGTGACTGGGCAACAAAATGGCAGATGAATTTTAATGCTGATTAATTCAAAGTAATGCGCGTTGGAAAACATAATGCCAACTACATGTATAAAATGATGAGGACTAAATTAGCTGTTACCACTCCATAGAAATCTTGGGAGTCAGAGTAGATAGTTCTCTGAAATCATCCAGTCAATGTGCAGCATCAGTCAGAAAAACAAACTGAATGTTAGACATCATTAAGAAAGGGATAAATAAGACAGAAAATATCTTACTGCCTCTATGTAAATTTACAGTGTGCCCACAGCTTGAATACGGCGTACAGATATTGTCGCCTCACCTCAAAAAAGATATCTTGGCATTGGAAAAGGGCAACAAAAATGATCCGAGGTATGGAACAGTTGCCTTACAGGGAGAGCTTAAGATTGGGACTTTTTAGCTTGGAAGAGAGACAAGGGGGGGAAGGGAAGAGGACAGAGGTCTATAAATCATGACAGGTGTGGAAAAAATGAGTTATTTACTTGTTCCCATAATATGAGAACTAGAAGTTATCAAATACATTAATAGGTAATATTTCTCCACACAAGGCACAGACAACCTGTGGAACTCCCTGCCAGAGGATGTTGTGAAGGCCAAGACTATAACAGGGTTCAAGAAAGAGCTAGATAAATTCATGGAGGATAGGCCCATCAATGGCTAGCAGCAAGGATGGGCAGAGCTTTTGCCTCTTTCAAAAACTGGGAATGGGCAACAGGGGTTGAATTGCTGGATGATTCCCTGTTCTGTTCATTCCCTCTGGGGCAACTGGCATTGGCCACTGTGGGCAGACAGGACACTGGGATAGATGGATCTTTGGTCTGACCCAGCCTGGCCATTCTTATGTGGAGAAACAGCATCTGGAAGCTGATTAATCACTGTCAAGATCCTAACTGCAGCTGCTCTGCCACCCAGGCCCACCGCACAGACTGGAGCTGCCTTTGTATAATGAGCCTAGTTTCTGGTCAAAGATTCCCAGACTACCCAGCCGACCCTGAGGCAGAGAGAGTTCAAGGCCAGAATGGATCCTCAGATCAATCCAGGGGTTCTCAATCTTCATTGCACCGTGAACCTCCTCTGACAAGAGAGGCAACACAAGCCTAGGGACTGAAGCCTGAACTCACCTAAGCCCTACCCCTAGTTGGGTGGATCAAACCTGAAGGCCATGGGCTTCAGTCCTAGAGAGGGGGCCTGTAATCTGAGCCCCAATGTTCATCACTGAGTCCTCGGATATCAGCTTTGGCCCCAGAGCGTAGACCTGACAATCCCATTAAAACGGGATTAGAACCCACTCAGGTCC